ACAAGGAGCAAAACCCACAAGTCAACAAATCACATCTGAGTCAGGTTCAGCCTGTGGGCTGTCATCTTAGAAACTCGGTTACCGGCAAAACTAGTTAGCTTGTAATTGTCTGGCCAAGACAAACAATGGGTAACCAGATGCTGATTTTACAGATAACCAAGTCTTAAATGACTTTCCATATCACTTGCATTTGTCTTTGAGGTGGGATATTTATTTATGTAACTAGTTAGGTTACTCAGTGCCTTTAGCAAAGGACTTTTTGTAGAGCATAATAAAATGGCACCCCGATGTTATAAATTCATTCTACTTAATGTGGAAAGGTCAGCCAAATGTTAACTCATGTGGTCCTCTTTTCTGCATTGGAAGCCCTCCTGTCCTGTAGCATTAATCTGTTAACTCTCTTTTGAAAAGAAATTATATATATATAAATATAAATATTATTATATATAAATATTATATATATTACTATATATAAATATAAATCACTATATATATATATATATATCATTATTCTGCTTACAGATAATATTGCCCTTTGTATCCACATATGGATTTGAAAGAAATTGCCTTTTCCCAATATTTCTTTAAACTTTTGCCATGGATCTATCCAATGGACAAGAAGGCTATGTTTCAAAAAAAAAAAAAAAATACTCAGGCTTTTTTTTTTCAAACGTGTTGAAATCAGACTCATGCAATTGATGTGATTTTAATCATCCTATCAATTGAATGATAGCATATCATCTGTAAGGTTGGGATGTGTTTCAAGGACCACTGGGTAAAAATCCCCTGCAGTGGTATTCTTCTTACTGTTAGCACCCCATGCCTTTAGAGGGTCACTGTCTTAAATGTTGCTTTTCACTTCATCAGTAATGTATTCAAGTCATCACTCTGTGGTCTCATATTTTACTTTTTCTTTCCACTCAATGGTATCAGAAGCTACCAAATCTATGTTTCATTTCTCCAGCCCCATGTGTGAATGGCTGTTGGTGTCTGGATGTGTTACTCATCCTAAGGAGCATGTCCACATTTTAAGGCAGTGTGAGAGAACCTTCCTGGCCGGCCTTAAATTGAATCTATATAGTCAGTGACTATTCTTTCTAAGCACAGGATCACCTCCAACAGATGCACAGTGCAACGTAAAGGAATATTTCTCTCCCAACCAAATAACCCTTAGAACAGTGGTCTTAAAGTATAGCTCCTAAGTCAGCAGTTATCAGCTGGGATACTTGTTAGAAATGCAAATTCTTAGGCTTAGACCCAAACCTACTGAATCAGAAACTGGGGGGGATGAGGTTTAGAAATCTGTGTTTTCATAAACCCGCTTTGCAATTCTGAGGCATGTTAAACTTACACATCCGTTTTAATATATTTTCCTCCAAGCTCTATAAACAGCCTGAATTTTTCCACCAATCTCCCCAGCTAGGCTAAATTCTAAAAGAGTAGGGAGGTCTTCTGCTTGTTTATCATTAAATCCTAGGCTCTAGCATTAATGCCAGGCATATAGTAGGTCTCCATTATGTATTTGTTGAACGTATGAAGGAAAGCATGAGTGATTGGCTAAATGCCTCCTCCTGTACTTGGCATAAAGGCCACAGCATTCCCAGCCCATTGCATTGGTTTTCTCAGGAGCTGTACTGCTTTGATTTAAATCTTTGCTTCCCCCCATCTGTCAACTATATGTCTTTTGGCAAATTGCTTAACCTCTCGTCTCGATTTTCTCATCTCTAATATGGAGATGAAAGCAGTACATCAGCTTCATATAGATTTCTATTTGTTCTTGGTTTTGATTAGATTAGTTGTGGTGGTAACGTCTGTTATTATATTACCAATAGGTACTCCTTTCCCAAGTGGCAGGCAGGCCACTCTCCATCCAACCTGCAGAGACTCTGAAAAAGGTCTAGATAGAATTTGCTTTTCCCCTTCATTGACATAATATTTGGAAGACTGGATCCTGCAGACATCATTCCAACTCCGAGCTTTGTTATCATCATCATGATTTATTACCTCATTTATTACTTTCACTAATATTTGCATTCAATGCACCACAGGAATACTTAAATGGCCTTTCATAATTTGGATGTATACATAGTATTGATGATCTGATATGATATCCATGCTGTTGCTTCCTTCTGGTCCTTCCTTCTTTCTTGACCTAGGCCTACATTCCTGCTACCTTTACCAGGACCTCAGATGGTTGTCATGGTTAAATTACTAAAATACAAACAAGTTGTTGTTTTTTCTTTTCTTTTTCTTTTGGTTCTGCCACATGCAGTAATGTGCTATTTATTATCTGCTCTGACTAATCCTCACTTCATTTCTAATGCTCAGCATTTTCCTTTCTGTGGAGAGCCATACATTGGCAGGAGTTCAAGGAAAGGCTGAAAATGCTTCGTAGAAACTATTTTAATCCCAAACAGTTAACGTTTGGAGAACAGGTTGAAACATATGTAATATAGGCACCAAAATGTAGGCAATTATCTCCACAGGGCAAAAGGGGACAGAGAATAAAGGCCATGCTGCCCTGAGGTCGAGGGTAAAGAACTGAAGAAACACCTTCCTTGGCTTTCCAAGGGTCACAGTGTCAACCAAAGAATGAAATGATAAGACAAATGGAACAGCTTGATAACAACCAAATGGGTGTATTTATTCGCACAATTCAAGCCTGACTACTGGAGTTCTTATCCTGTCCACTGACAGCCATTCTGAGCATTGTAACAAGAACCAGAACTTGATGTCTAGAAATTCTTAATGGTACTCTGTACAAAGTGGATGAAAGGTGACAAGCCAGAGGGAATGTGTGCAGAAATTTTGACTCAAAAATCCTGTGACTTTCAGTGATTCTTTGTGTTGGCTTCAACCTTTGAACAACGTAAAGACAACAGCTGCTGCCTAATGTTTCTGAAGATAGAAATGGATGTCCCAGAGTTAGAGAGTAGTGTTTTGTTTAAATCATGTTGTGCTGTTCTTGGAGCATTGCACGGGACACAACATGCTGCCTCTCTCATGGTTTCATCTTGTCATTTAATCATGTGTATTCTCATACACACACACACACACACACACACACACCATCTTTGGTAAAGCACTATATGTTACATTGCTGTAAGGCAGCATTATTATTCAATATCTACCATGCAGCTATTATGCAGTGTGATTTTCAGAAAGGAAGAACACTGTCAGAAGCTTAATACCACCTTGCAGGATCAGTTAGGGGAAAAATATGAGCTAAGGAGGCGGAAATCCTTGTTTAGAATTACAGAGAAATTATGACAAGCTGTGAAAAGTTCCATAGGCTTTTGTAGCACTGAAATCTTTCCTCTAGGACCAACTTCTATGAAAATATACTACGCCTGGAATTTGCCCTGTCAAAGCCAGACATATTTTTTTAATTGAATCTTGCTCTGAGAGTAGTGAATTTTTTTCCCCATCTGTAATTTGCTTTTTATGTGAATGGAGAGATGTTCTGTTTCTCTTCTTTGGAGGGTTGTCGTATTCCTGTAAAAACAATCAATGTTGGGCCATTTATCTCTTGCTTCATCAAACTGTGATGTGGGCTATAAGTACGTGTATGTTCGCAATATAGATTTTTTATTTCTGTATTTTACAGTCATATTATTGGCAAGTGGCTCTCATTTATTTTCCAGAACATTTCTAAGCTGATGACAACTCTTTAGTCTTTGTTTGTTAACTGTGTCCTGTCTGTCTACCTTTTCATGTAATAATTGCTTTCAGGGAATAAAACAGAAATGGGGTATTGCTTTGTTTAATATTTTTCAAATCAAATACCCCATAGCACAACCATCTGTGAAAATACATTTCAGCTTTCATCAAATTCTGCCAAGACTTTTTTGAGGATTAATAATCCCTTCATGTGGCATGTTTCTATGGCTAATGTAATTTTGTTGGGCAAAGCCTAGGTTATATTTATGTTCTGACTCAGGTTAAAAAAAAAGGGCTTGTTGAAGAGAGAAAAAAATTGACTATTTTCACTCCTAAATTTGTGTTACTAGCAGAACAAGTGCCTTTGAAATGGAAAATATTGTTGAGAGGCTTTTCTTGGTGGAAAATGTGGAAGTAAAAGCTATATTCATTATTCTTATATGTGGAGTCCAATTCTGTATCAGTGAATGGCCCTTAACAGAGCTACATACATATTAGCAGAACATGGACTGCCTGGTGCCTTTCAAGCTTTTTCTTTGATTTATTCTGGGGAAAGGGTCTTGTGCTTCAGTTGTTTCCTCTCAGCAATTGTGACCTTGTCCTTCCTGCCCATCTTTATGTTCTACATATGATTTTCCCACTTTCCATTCCCTAAAGGCCCACTAACACAGAGCTGTTGCATGTAAGGGCAAGTGGGGCAGGTTGTGGCAGGGACTCCAAAATAGGATACAACATGAAGTAACTAGAATTTTATTAAGGCACTCCATTGTCTTTGAGTTTCTTGGCTACTTCTTCCCATAGGAATTTCTTAAAGGGTATTTGTAGTCTCATGTTCTGGATTCCCACCATATTGCTAGAGCTCCTGTCCCCAGACTGTCCTAATTCGCTGCATTTGGCTGGGAAACAAGACATACTCAAATGTGGTCATTGAGAAGAATGTAGTGAAGGCACTCTTATTTATAAAGCCATAGGCCAAGTGTAGGGAAATAAACTACGTACAATCAGTTCTGTTATAACACTTCTTTTGAAAACACCGATTTATCCCAATGCCGTTGGTATCTCCTGGAACATTTTGGACCTAGTTTTGCATTTGCTTATGTGTGATTACATCCATGAAAAGCATTTGGTGAATGCAGAAATCTGCACCCAGTTGAACCAAACAGTGGAGAAACACACAAAATGCACACTCCTTCCCTTAAACATCCACTTTACATCTCAGTTCACCACCTTGTCACATGCCACACCATTCCCACCTGCTATAGGAACTTCTTTTCACATTTCAGATTCACTTCCTGCTGCCACTATGCAACAGTTCCCAAGCTGCAACCCACATGAAATGTACTTCCAAGCAAACTCCAAGGTCTTTTCAAGGTAAAATATGTATCGTCTCTGAGTGTTTCTTGTTAAGGCATTAGCAATACTGCCCTCACTAGGAGCTCATTGGACAGTAGTGCAACCTCAAGAAAAGGATGATTTCTCTGCGTGTTTCTTAATCATGTCACAATCAAGTGTAACACTGTCAACTATTTTTATTAGATCCCTGTTTTAAAAATGTCATAGATATTTTGTGTCTGTGCGTGCCTTCCATTTCCCCATAAACCTCTTGGTAGTTTTTGCAAAATTTTGTGTAGCATGATGATTTTCAAGAATATATATGTTGCTTATAGCAGACTGCATTTTGGAGCACCCTGTGGCTGAGAAGAGCAGGGAGCTGTCATTGCTTTTGGGCCAGAAGGACCAGGACAGAGAAACAGTCTCTGGACCCTGAGGGGAAGGGACCCTAGAGCAGAGGGTTGCTTAGCATCTGCTAGCCAGAGGCCTAGCATAAAGAGAGCCTAGGGAATAAACACCCTGTACTCACTCCCCTCCCACTCTCCAGTCTTTGGCAGTTACCTCCTATTGGCAGAACCCAACTGGAAGCCAGGGGGTTAGGGAGTCTGTTTATTGCCCTCCACAGAGGACAAGTTAAACACAGTGCGTAGGGCAGGACCAAGGAATGGATATGAAGTCATCCTCTTACCCAACACCATTAGGGAAGTTACTTTTTAAGGAACCGTTTTTATTTTATTCCCTAAATCAACTTTATTCTTCTCTTTCTGGATGTCTTATCTAGGCTGGGGGTTGAGGACATTCATAAAGGTGTTTTTCTAAACAAAGGAAAACTTTCTGCCAAAAAAAAAAAAGAGAGAGAGAGAGAGAGAATCAGCACTCCTTCTAATCCACCAATTGAAATAGCCAATTAAAAAAATAACACATTTCTTCCCACTTCTCATTATATGCTCACAAATAACTGTATCTGTCATTTCCACTGGAACCCCCTTCAAAGGGCAAACATGTTTTCACCTTTAATATTTGAATTTTGCCCAGATTGGTTGGATACTGTTGCATAATTCACTACTTTTTGTGCTTGGTCAAAAATAAGAATATCAAATGGATGGTATAACTTACTTGCTGATATATTGCTCTACAATTTGGAGATTGGCTTTTCTTATAGTTCCATTAAAAGACAATTGGCTATTTTCTTCTCATCTGTAAGTACTGGAATGAGAAGAAGGGGGCTTGAAATGAGTCTCTGTAGGTACTGCCCATTTTCCAGATGCCCCAGCTTGATCTGAAGTTCAGAAAAGACAGTGAGTTGATAGTCTTAAGGGTAATTATTCAACAGGATGTTAGAGCTTAAATGAGTCAGTTCGTCATTTATTAGGATATGTCTTCCCTGCCTAGAAAGAGCCTGCAAACAAAAGGAGAGATATTCATGTGTCCTATAGAGTTCAGATGTTTATTGGAGAAAAACAATACAAAAAATGTCAAACTTCAAAAGAAGGGTAGACATATATATTTCTTAAAAATTTCCTCAAAGTTTCCTTTTTTTAAAAAAAAAAAAGAGGCTCAAGTCTTATTCTTTCATGAGTAAAATTAATTGCAACATTAGCCATAATTCACTTTGTTTCATGCTAAAATGGAATTGATTGCTTATACTGGTTAGCCTATCACTGGGGAAGGAAATTTGATGATGTAGATAATGTTGACAGGGATAATGGAGATGAAAATTTAGATCCTACTGCAGGCTCATGTACTTTTAAAATGGAGATATATAATTCATACATTATAAAATCCATCCTCTTGCAGTGTACAATTCAGTGATTTTTAGCATATTCACACAGCTGTACACCTATTACCACTACCTAATTTCATAATATTTTTATCACCCCAAAAAGAAAACCCATATTTGTTAGCTGTTACTCTCTGTTCTTCCTACCCCTAACTCTTGGCAGCCATCAATCTATTTTCTGTTCTACGCATTTACCTATTCTGGACATTTCATGTAAATGAGATCGTGTCATATATGGCATTTTTTGCATCTGACTTCTTTTCTTACCACACTGTTCTAAAGGTTGATCCATGTGTAGCATGTTTCAGTACTTCATTCCTTTTTATTGTCACATAATATTCCACCAAATACCACATTTTGTGTATCCATTAATCAACTGATGGGCATTTGGATGTTTCTACTCTTTGGCTGTAGTGAATAATGCTGCTGTGAACATGCATGTACATATTTTATTATGGATATACATTTTCATTTCTCTAGTAGTGCAGGTGCTGAGTCATGTAGTGACTCTAAATATAATCTTTTGGTGAACTACCAGACCATTTTCCAAAGTGGACACAAAATTTTGCATTCTTACATGGCATATGGGGGTTCCAATTTCTCCATATCTTTTCCAACAGTTGTTAGCATCTATTTGATTATAGACATTTTATTGGGTGTGAAGTCATCTTTCACTATGATACATCTTTCACTGTAGTCACACAGATCTTTCCTTTTTTCCTCCAAGTTTTTGTTTATTTATTTGATGGAGAGAAAGAGCACAAGCAGGGGGAGCTGCAGAGGGAGAGGGGAATGGAGGAGCGGGCTTCTCATTGAGCAGAGAGCTGACATGGGGCTCAATCCCAGGACTTCAGGATCATGACCTGGGCTGAAGGCAGACATTTAACACACTGAGCTGCTCAGCTACCCCTCATTATGATTTTTATTTGCATTTCCCTGATAGGTAATAATGTTGAAATCTTTGCAGTGCTTGTTGGCCATTGGTGTATCTTCTTTGGAGAAATGTCTACTCAGATCCCTCATCATTTTCTTATTGGGCTATTTGTTATTTTATTTTTGCATCGTAACAGTTTTTTTCTATACTCCATATATGAGTATCCTATCAAATATATGATTTGCAAATATTTTCTGTCATTCTGTAGGTTATCTTTTCATATTCTTAATGGTATCCTTGATAGCACAAAAGTTTTTAAATTTTTGAGGAACTTTAATTTATCTACTTTTCTTTTGTCTTTTGACAACCTTGCTTAATCTAAGATCATTAAATTTTTCTCCTATATTTTCTTCTGGCGGTTTTATAGTTTCATCTCTTACATCAAGATTTGTGATACATTTTGAATTTACTTTTGTGTATGGTATGAGGAAGGAGTACTTTATTCTGTTACATGTAGATATCAAGTTGTCCCAGGAACATTTGTTGAAAGACATTGAATTGTCTTGACACGCTGTTGAACATCAATTGCCTATAAATATATGGCTCTATTTCTAGACTCTTAATTATATTCTGGGCTTATAGACTTTTAGATAGGCCCTTTCATATCATCGAGTGTAGGAGTCACACATTCAAATGTCTGCCAAGTATAGTCAGACATAGATGAATAAAGGTATACTTGGGGAATATGGGTTTTACCCAGTGGTTGTCATATGGAAATAGAAGATGAGGTTGGTTGTATCTTTTGATTTTTCAAAAGAAGCCAGAAATTGTATTTCTTCTTCTGGCAAAATGTCTAGAGTTAGAGTCAAGCAACTAATTTAGTTAAAAAAATGCTGACTGGCCAAAGAAAACACATCCTTGGACAGCAATTGGCCCATTATCCACCAGTTTTCAGCTTCTGAAACACTTCAACTCTTTCATTTGTATAGATAAGATTGCCAGGTCTCAGTTTAGATTGCCAGGTCTTTAAATTACATGGCTCTTTGTGACAAATTCAGATGTAGAAATTAAAATCCATGTTTTCTACCTCCCAGTCTAATGTTACTAATATATCAACATTCTAACAAGTCATTATTTTTCTAGTAATATTTTCTTATTACCATGACCCAATATTGTGTCTTTTTTTTAATTAAAGCAAGAACAACAACAACAATAAACCAACCAAACAAACAAACAAAAAAAACCCTGTGAGACCTAAACACGTTTAGGTGGAAGCTGTGTTATTAACAATTCTCCACTGTAATCATTTAAAGTAAGATATTCTAACCTGTTTTCAGAAGTGTAGTAGGAAAACTTTGTTTTTGTCTGATAATAGATAGAAAAGCAGTGCACAGCTCTCACCCCCAGGAACAAACACACACTCACCCTCTGCATCCAACAATGAGTAACGCATGCCTCTGAAAGTCTTGCCTCAGTTGTCATGTTTGTAAATATACCACATGTGGAAGGATTAGAACTCATCACTCCCAATTTTATCTTCTCTGTTTTGTGTTCAAGGCCTTTGTCAAGAGCATATATATTTCATTTACTGAGATCCTCTCAATGACATATTTTCTCATTCCAATAACCACTGCAGGAGGGACGTTCCCAACTCCTGTGCCAGAATCTGTTGAAGAAACTTTAGTCTCCTGCAGTATTAATGCATGCATTTCCCAACTTTTTCACATTTGATTCAGTTCAGCAAATGTGTGATAAAACAGATATGCCAGCAATAATTATGGGACTACTAACATGAATAAAAAGTATGACAGGGATCCCTGGGTGGCACAGCGGTTTAGCGCCTGCCTTTGGCCCAGGGCGCAATCCTGGAGACCCGGGATCAAATCCCACGTCGGGCTCCTGGTGCATGGAGCCTGCTTCTCCCTCTGCCTGTATCTCTGCCTCTCTCTCTCTCTCTCTCTCTCTCTCTCATAAATTAAAAAAAAAAACCTTCGATATGAAAAGTATGACAATCCAAAAGACAAACATACTAAGCAGAAAGAAATATGTTATAATTAAAGCTGCAGGTGATAGATGGAAGTGGAATACAGCAATGACTTCTCAATGGGGGAGTTATGCAAGAATGCACATTATATGGACATTTGTACATCCAGGAGAAGCGATTAGCACACACCAAGACACGCGTGCAAATATGCAGAACTTCAGAGCTAATAGATTGCATCTACACTAGGTTAAATCAGGCCAAAGATTAATGAAAAATTTAGTCGTCCTGAATTCTTAACCTGCTTATCGTCAAACTCCAGATGTTTGATATTTAAATAAAGCAATTAGATAATTGATGGAATTTTATTTTTCATTCAGTCATTTGGGATAGTCAATAATACGCAGTTTGCCAAATCCTGAGAGAAAATGTTGTCGTCCATCTAATTTATTTCCAAATGGCAGGAGAGAATTTGAAAGTGATCAAGAGGTTATTTAGGGAAAGTAA